CTCGAATAACGACTTCACGCATTAACTGCATGCAAGGCTACAAAATGGAACCGATTTCATGCAGTCGAGATCGAATGCATACAGTTAATGCGTGAAGTCGTTATCGAATTCATGCAGTTGTGGTCTCGGTTGCATGAAGTTGATTATGACTTCACGCATCAACTGCAAACGTACAGTCAATCTATTAACAGCCCTAGATGACTCTCAGAATCAAAACGTCAGCTAGGTGTTCAGATATGGAAGGGTATCAACTATACCTATGGCTTTAATTTCTAAATTACGTACATTTGGATATGTTTAATAGCAATATCTCCTCCTAATGGCGAAGGGAACCAACTTGATGAAACCTGCACGCCGAAGAAGATTCACAACACCTAAAAACTACAGTTCGAATTCCAAAGTACCCAGGTGTTCTAAAACTAGTGCACTAAATCGTGTTGGCTCTAGAATGGAAGGGCGGGTCAATCGTATATCATATTAGGTAAATTACAGGGTTTCATAAGTAAAGTAACTGTAGATTCAATAAAGATTATACTATACTTATTGTAAAATTATAAAAAAATATCTTTTGGAAATGGTTCTAAATATATGATAATATTTTCGGGTAATAGACAACATTTCTAACTACCTATTTGCATACATAAAATAGTACTCAAGATCTTAATTAAAGTGCTTCAACATAGCTTCAACATATATGATCGATCACTCACTCTATGGTTCCGGGAAGATACTAAGCGTCCTTCAAATATCGAAGAGACACAGTTCCGAGAATGTTGATGGGTATAAAGTTTTTTTTATAATATATAGTGACGGGACGATCGTATCGTGCGCAATGCTGACATTACTGCTTGGCGGTAGAAATAGGCAAGGCAGTACTACCCTGGAAGAACGCTTTCACAAGCAGTTCTACCGCTATTATGAGAAAGAGACTTTTGCGTTAAAGAGTAACGTATTTAAATTTTTATTCAATTAATATTCTTAAATTATTTTTATGTGAAATTACTCCACTAGTTTGCTATAATTATTAATACAGAGATGGAAACACACATTTTTCTATGTGTTTCTTGTCGTGTCTTTGTATTTGGTTTTTCAACGACTTTTTAGTCGTAGCGCCATCTATGAGACTTATTTTTTTTGTGAACCGATTTCGATGATTCTTTTTTTATTGGAAAGGGAGTACCTCGGTAGTAATCCCGTTCAAATTTGAAGAATATATTCCACCTCTAAGGGTAGCAATTTAGGGAATGAATTCGGTTTATCCACCGATTTCAATAAAACTTGTCAAATAGATGGTAATTCCATGAACTTATGATTAAGAGGTCGGTTTTTATTATGTTTAGACACTTTTGAAATTTCAAATTCAAATGTACGTCTAACCTCATATTATTTATTTATTTTTTTTTATCCTGGCCAATGGAATGTATAAGTTAATACTCAAGTTATTTGAAAATAGATTTAAGGATGGTCTATAGCGATCGAGCTGGCATTATCGCTAAGCGATAACAATATTTACATTGTTCAAATTTTTTTTTTCACGACTGGAACGCGTATGAGTTCATACAGTACTCACTTTCGACAGCGATTTATAAAGTATTTAAACACAAATTCATTGATGAACACAATGCAAATGCTCACTTAAAACTAGTTTATTATGCATTTGGTCACATGTCAAAGGTTATCATTTATTGGGGACGATGACGAATTGGTTATGTAAGTAACATTCTAAGAAAGAAACGCAGAACATTATAAATATAATGAGATACATTATTCACAATTCACTTATTTGTTAAAATTGGTGAAATTACAGGCACATGAGACTTGTCAACTTATGTCTCAGGGTGACGGGCGCGGTGGCAGTGCCCCTCAGAGCTTCGCGACTTAAAGCTTTTGAGTGACACTGAGATATCATGGATGGGCGTGTCGACATTCTAAATAATATATATTTTTTTATAATACAAAGGACGGGTCGTGCGCCTGATGATAAGTTACAAATCTGTCCAATAGCAGTTGCAGTGCCACTTAGAGCTTATATTGCAAAGATCTCAGGGGCACTGCCACTGCGCCCGTCACTATGAGACATAAGTTGAGAAGTCCCATGTGCCTATAATTTCACCTGCACCCTTACCCTTCAAAACTGGAACGTAGCAGAATTTAACAGAGTTAATCAGTAATCAGTACAGAGTACTAAAAAAACCGACCTCGAAAGTCATTCATCCCCTAGTTTGCCACCGTTAGAGGTGGAATATTTTCTTCTAATTTACATGGAACCACTTCTGAGGTATCTTTTTTCCAACAAAAAATAATCAAAAACGGTTCACAAATTTATCGCGTAACATACATACAAAATAAACATGCAGTCTTACCTCCAAACATTCAGTTGAAAACCTACTCCTTTTTTTGAGGTTGGTTAATAAAGAGAACAAAACAAATAAAACGAACAATATACAAAATAAATTATCACTAGTATCAGGTTTGTTACCACGGTATGCCTTCTTTTTATTTTCCCGATATTTCAGAACGGTTGCACGCTCCATGGTCACGGGTTGACTCAACCCGTCAACCAAAAAAAAAGTAGTCAAGGAAAATAAAAAGAAGTCATACTGTGGTAAGAAACCTGATACTAGTGATAATCGTTTAGTGCATAACCACGAAAGTCTTAAAAAAAAAAATCTAAATATATAAAATAGTCCATTGTCGTACTGAATGATATAATAATACAAAAATAAAAACTCTACTTTTACTTTTTAATGAAGTTTTCAATTGAAATATGTTCGTTTAGAACATTGACCTGTTTAGAATGATGAACGAATGATTTGACTTTTGACAATTATTTAATTTGACGCATTCACTTAAAGAAATAGTGTTTGAAAAGCGAATTATTTAGTCTTTTTTATTACTTGTTGATACGTTGTTCAATGTTTGATAAAGGAATGGA